TATTTCCCTGGTCAGTTTTTCTTTTTCCTTTCTTTTTTTGTTTTAGCTTTTTCTTTTTTTTCTTTTTTTTGAGAGGGAGAGTCTGTGCAACACATGCATCTAGGGAAAAGTTAGCATTTGTGGGTGAGGTTGTGTTCACTATCTGTACATCGTTCCTAGCTGGAGATTAGCTGGACCCATTTTCCAGCAGCTGTTCCATACTGTACATCGATTAGCTAGGAACGATGTACAGATAGTGAACACAACCTCCAGATAGGAAAAAGTTAGCATTTGTGGGTGACGTTGTGTTCACTATCTGTACATCGTTCCTAGCCCGCTGTTATCAGCTAATCGATGTGAAGTCTGCGAGAGATGGAGAGCGTGAAAGCTGGAAGAGTACGACCTTGAGCGAGTGGATGTATGCTTCCTTACTTGTCCAATGTGGTGATTGCTCCCTACACAAATTTCCCTTTTAAGTTGTAACTCTGATTGGATCTATTCCCTCCCAAGTCCACCATGTCACATCAGGAGATGGAGAAAAGGCTGCTAGATTCTCGAGCTATTTCTGGCATCCGGCCAGCCGGATGAACAGGCGGACTTTCTCTGACTTCTCCAGTGTTTTTCCCAGTTTCCTCTATGCCTGGATTACTTGGTACAGCGGTACGAACCTGGAACCTGCACAGTCAATCCTCCGGAAACCGGAGTAATCAATGCTGGCAGGATGCTCAGGATGCTCAGTCAATGTTCTCATGTGTCAAGCTGTACTCAGTCTGTACTCAGTCTGTACATGGGACGCTGGACCCGTTTTCCAGCAGGTGACGCTCCCCACCAATAGATGGAGCCTCCCCCCAGGTGCTAGTGGTGTCTGTGTTCAAATCAGCATCACTAGCACTGCAGGAGGGGGTGTTGGTTTAAAAAAGAAAAAAAAAAAGAAAAAAAAAAAACACGGACGGCAGAAGATCACGGTGGTAATAGTCAACGCTCTGCCGTCCATGTACAAGTCATCTCCGCCCGTCCATGCACATGTCATTTCACCTGGAGTCGTCCATCGGGCATGGCAGGTTCGGTTCAACTTAAACCACCAGTGCTTGGCCCCGCTATCGGCCTCAGAAAAAAATAAGAGTAGAAACATATCTAGTCGGATGAATTTGGGCGCTCCTGTAGTGGCCCGTACGTTTCCTAAAATTGTGCACTCGCTTGTTAACGGGTACGCCATTAGGAAGTGCTTGTGGTTCAACAGAGCCATGAACGACGTCGATGATAATTGCTCCGTTTATAGAACGTTGCACCCGTCCAAGTTTCAGGGCGCTTGAGAGAGAGAGAGAGCGAGAGAGAGAGAGAGAAGAGGAGAGATCCTGTTTTCCTTGGATTTATCCAGTGGCATAGCTCACTTGGTTAGGCTCGCAAGTGGCATGTGGGAGGTTGTGGGTTCAATCCCGATGGCCGCCTGCAGTACACTTGGTGCCAACCAAGGGACATTAATCCAGCAGCCTAGCTACCGGTCGGTATTAGTAGGATCTACAGCCAACATGGGTGTGAGTGCGCCTGTGAGCGGGTCGTGTGTGGTGTGTGGGAGAGTGGTGGCCTTGCCCTTTGACCTTGCTGCCACCCTATGAGGGTGGGGAAGATGAAAAAGGCGGCGGCGAAGCTACTGCCAAACGCTCCGTCCTTGTGTTAGCCCGGCGCCCACCGGCGGCCCCAACCCTTCACCCTAATCGAGTAAGGCAACATGCACTGAGAGAGGTAACCTCCCTTCACCAAGAGAGGAAGATCGCTATGCTTGCAGGGGTCCCCTTAGGAGTAGTGGTAGGAGGAGGCTGTCCTCCCTTCATGTTGCCTGAATAGGGAGCAATTGCTGACCCTTTTTGGAAGAGTGGACGACAGAGCCTCACTCTTCCATAATGACCCAGCAATTGCTCCCTATCCAGGCAACATGAAGGGAGCACATCATAAGGGCGACCGAGGGGCTACCAAGGTCTTGCTTGTGATAGTCAGAGAGTCCAGCCCGTTATCTGACATCGCAACATGGAGGGAGGATATCATAAGGGATACCATAGTTTAGGTTGTGTTTATCATCATCCTCAGTCTCTTTTTTCTTTATTTTTCTGGTTTTTTTTTTTCTTTTTCTTTCTTTTTTCTTTCTTTTCTTTCTTTTTTTTTTTTTTTTTGAACCACCCGTGGTGCTGCTAGGGTTGCTCATAAGAGCAGATACCACTAGCACTCCTGGTGAGGCTCCATCTATTGGTGGGGAGCATCCTCAGTCCGGTACATGCTTACGCCAAACTTCGCCGAACTCTGCGATTTGCACTCTGCAAACAATTGTTTACAAACTACGACGCTGGATCCAATTTCCAGCAAGCGAGTGATGCCTCCCACTAATAGAATGGAGCCATCAAACAGAGGAGACTCCACTCCCCCGAAAGGATGCTTGTATCAAAGCCGGGGGATGGACCCGCAGGATGTTTGTAAAAGAGACGAATTTCAAAGTGGTTGAGCGAAGAAGATCAAGCAGTGGGGACGCCATCCACCATGCACCATGCACCAGAGGATGCTCGTATCAACGCTGGGAGATGGGACCCACAGGATGTTTCTAAAATGTAGAGTTTTCCAGCTGGTGCGGGTGAGTGATAGTATAGTATGATTTCATTTCCGTCACAGGTAACTTGAGGGCAGTGGTTGGTGCCCACCTCCTCAGAGGGGTATCAGTTGTCGGGCAGTCGTTGATGCTTAAACCACAACCGGGGTTAAGGCCGATTTTTGCTTACAGTGTAATCAGGTAGGGGATTCTGCAGACCATGGAGGTTCAGCCTCATGATGAGTCGGTGAAACTCCAACGAAACAGTTTGTCACAGCCCCTCATTTGTTGTCCTCTTCTCTCTCTGCCTACGATTTATCGGGCATGTTTGATTATATATAGACTAGGGTTCAGCCTCCTGATGAGTCGGTGAAACTCTGATGAAACAGTTTGTCACAGCCCCTCGTTTGTTGTCCTCTTCTCCCTCCCTCCCTCTCTGCCACCTACGGTTTACCAGGCAGCTCCGTTTGTTGTTGTGTTCGGCTGCTTCGTTCCTCCTCCTTTCTTTGCCTCTTTGCCCTTTGGCTGTGTGCAAGTGGGTCGATATGACACACGGGGGTGGGGGAAGCCGCCGCTCAACCTACATCCATGTGGGCGGCCTTGTATGCATGCGGTTCTGAACAGGGAGAGTTCTAAAGAAGATAAAAGAACGAATTCATTTTTTCCTTGTTTAGTTTGTCTTTTTTCGCTTCTTGGCTCTGATATTCTTATGGCAATATATATATTTATATATATGTGTGTGGCCGGGCCGTCACTATGCGGCCATGCTGTGCCTCTAGTGCCAGCGGCGTGTCTGGAGTGAATTTTTTGGCTGTGACAGACCTTTCTTTGTTTCATGGGTGTTTTGCTTGCTTGTGATGGGGTGTGAACCGACAGTCTGTAGAGTTTTCCATCTGGTGTGGGTGAGTGATAGTCTGCTTTGACTTTTGCCACAGGTACCTTGAGGGCAGTGGTTGGTGCCCACCTCAGGGTATCAGTTGTCCGGCAGTCGTTGATGCTTAACCACAACCGGGGTTAAGGTGGATTATCACTTACAGTGTAATCATCAGGTTACGGGATTCTGCAGACTGTTTTTGAGGGTTCAGCCTCCTGATGAGTCGGTGAAAATCCGACGAAACAGTTTGCCACAGCCCCTCGTTCGTTGTCCTCTTCTCCTTCCCTCTCTGCCTACGGTTTACCGAGCAGCTCTGTTTGACTATATATCGTCAAATAGAACTGCCCGGTAAACCGTAGGCAGAGAGGGAGAAGAGGACAACAAACGAGGGGCTGTGACAAACTGTTTCGTCGGAGTTTCACCGACTCAT